ACAAGCTAGGGTAAAGTACTACTGGATAAGCACTGAAGCTGGATGCAGCTAGGGGTAGTGAGACCACGTGGTACCCTAATACAAAACACAACACTTAGGGGTACCCAAAACACTGGCAAATACTACCCCCAGGTCTCACCAATCGTTACCACCAGAGTAGGTACACTTAAAAATGCCCCGTACTTAACTTAATGGTACAGGAACTTCAGGTAAGGGAAATAAGTAAGAGGAGAAGAGAGGAGAGTAGAGGTGCAGCCACAGAGTAGGTCTCGTCCCCACGAATGCCAGCCAGAAGAAGAACGCTCCCAGCGACCAGCTTAGGCCTCCCGCATGTGGTGGTGCTGGAAGGAGCTTAATTGATCGTGCAGCTAAGCACATTAAAAATCTTCCCCTATGCAACATATTGTTACTTTACAAATGATTAAAGTATTAGTAAACATAGTTGGTGCCTATGTTATTATTTAATAATCAACCCCCAGCTCAGTCTTTAAATGCTCTTTGAGAAACAAGAATAGTCTTACGTCTGGCAGGGAAGATACAAACAATGACACATCGAGTTGCGTTCAACTATACTATAGGAAAGTTTAATAACTCAATTTTGACCTCTGGTTTCCACTGAAGAACTCAGGGTCGTAACACTCCTCCCCCCTTCAGAGAAAAAAAAAATGTGACTACTAGAATAGTAGTCATATTTTTTTTTTGTAAGAGTATACAGAGAATAAAAAGGAAAATCTAAGACAAAAAAAATCAATCAAAACCAACAATTTCTCTGCAAGAAAAGTACAAAGGAATTCTCTGAAAAAAAAAGGGAAGTAAATAATTTGGACACGGAATATTTAATGTCACAGGAGAACCTAAAAAAAATAACTAAAGCATGACAGTTGGTAAATGGCTTCCTGTGGCCTAGTTGAATGTTATTCAGGCAACCGGGTCAGAGCATCGGCTATCACGTTGAGCCTGCCCGGTAGGTGGGTAATGGAAAGATTGAAATCCTGTAGGTACAATGCCCACCTGAGGATGCGTTTATTCTTCCCCTTCATCTGAGTGAGGAAGACCAGTGGGTTATGGTCCGTGTACACTTCCACTATATTACCTGTGAGGTAAACTTCGAACTTTTTACATGTTAAACACTAGCGCCAATGCCTCTTTTTCTACCACTGAATAATTGCGTTGCGCCTTGTCAAATTTCACAGAGTAATAATATACTGGGTGTTCCACCTGATCATCCCCAGTTTGCAACAACACTGCACCAGCACCCGAGTCAGACGCATCAACATGAATTTTAAACGGTCGGTCGAATCTTGGACTAGCAAGCACTGGGGCGGAAGCTAAGATCAATTTCAAATTTTTAAATGCCTCAGCACAGTCTGATGACCACTTAAATTTAACGGCCTTCCGCAACAAGTCTGTGAGAGGAGTGGCAACACTGGAAAAGTTCTGACAAAAGCGTCGATAGTACGCACACATACCAATAAATCTTTGAACGTCCACTCCACTCCCGCCCTCCAGCACTGTGTGGAGTGTCCCCCTGACCACTCCACTCCCGCCCTCCAGCACTGTGTGGAGTGTCCCCCTGACCACTCCACTCCCGCCCTCCAGCACTGTGTGGAGTGTCCCCCTGACCACTCCACTCCCGCCCTCCAGCACTGTGTGGAGTGTCCCCCTGACCACTCCACTCCCGCCCTCCAGCACTGTGTGGAGTGTCCCCCTGACCACTCCACTCCCGTCCTCCAGCACTGTGTGGAGTGTCCCCCTGACCACTCCACTCCCGCCCTCCAGCACTGTGTGGAGTGTCCCCCTGACCACTCCACTCCCGCCCTCCAGCACTGTGTGGAGTGTCCCCCTGACCACTCCACTCCCGCCCTCCAGCACTGTGTGGAGTGTCCCCCTGACCACTCTGTACTGAGTTTACTGACACTCAGAGAGTTCCTCCCTGTCTTCCTGCCTGTCCACTGATTCCCGTCTCTCAGAGTGTGGTCAGAATGGGCGGGTCGCCCCATGATCGGTCCGGATTTAATACCACAGAGAGGAAGTATTACTATTATAATTATTATCATTATTACTATTTATAGCGATAACAGAAGTTATAGTGTATCTTGAGGTTATCTTGAGGGTATCTTGAGGTTATCTTGAGGGTATCTTGATGTTATCTATGTAAATGGAAGTAGTAGTTAAACAATAGTGGAAAGTTGTTAGCAAGTCATATGAGTAGTTGTTGTAGGAAGCGATAGTAGAAGTAGCTTTAGTGGTAATAGTAGCATAGTTACTTGATTTAGTTGGAACTGGTATTAAATGATAGTCTTCAGGATATTATTAGATAGTAGTAGTAATAGGAGCCTTAGTGGTAGGTGGGGAAGCCAGTGGTAGGCGGGGAAGCCAGTGGTAGGTGGGGAAGCCAGTGGTAGGTGGGGAAGCCAGTGGTAGGTGGGGAAGCCAGTGGTAGGTGGGGAAGCCAGTGGTAGGTGGGGAAGCCAAACAGGTTCAGCAGTGGTAGTGAACATTACCATTCCAACAAGGTGTTCAGTACAGTTAGGCCTCCCTGCTTCATTATTCCTGTACCACCTGGGAGGCCATCCTCTTCCTGTACTCACCTTGTAGTGCTAGCGGGGGTTGAGCTTTGGCTCTTTGGTCCCGCCTCTCAACTGTCAATCTACTGGTGCACAGGTTTCTGAGCTTATCGAGCTCTATCATATCTACATTTGAAACTGTGTATGGAGTCAGCCTCCACCACATCACTGCCTAGTGCATTCCATTTACTAACTACTCTGACACTGAAGAATTTCTTTCTAATGTCTCTGTGGCTCATTTGTGTACTCAGCTTCCACCTGTGTCCACTTGTGCGTGTGCCACCAGTGTTAAATAATCCATCCTTGTCTTCCCTGTCAAATCCCCTGTGAATTTTGTATGTGGTGATCATGTCTCCCAGAGCTCTTCTGTCTTCCAGCGACGTGAGGTGCAGTTCACGCAGCCTTTCTTCGTAACTTATGCCTCTTACTTCTGGGACTAGTCTAGTGGCATACCTCTGAAGTTTTTCAAGCTATGTCTTATGCTTAACAAGGTACGGGTTCCATGCTGGGACCGCATACTCCAGGATTGGTCTTACATATGTAGTATACAAGGTTCTGAATGATTCCTTGCACAGGTTCCTGAAGGCAGTTCTGATATTAGCCAGCCTCGCATACGCCACAGATGTTATTCTTTTGACGTGGGCTGTAGGAGACAGGTTATACGTGATATCAACTACTAGATCTTTCTCTCTGTCCGTTTCGTGAAGGACTTCATCTCTCATTCGGTATCCAGTGTCTGGCCTCCTGTTTCCTCCCCCTAGTTTCCTTACCTTACATTTACTTGGGTTGAATTTTAGTAGCCATGTGACAATTCCTTTAGTTTGTTTAGATCATCTTGTAGCCTCATACTATATTCCTCTCTCTTAATCCTCCTCATAATTTTTGCACCATCAGCAAACATAATGAGGAAGGAGTCTATTCCCTCTGGGAGATCATTTACATATATCAGTTGTGTCTTGACCTCTCAACATACCGGCTTCCTTGCCACATCATGTGATACACTTTATTATTATTAACATCTTTATTGACGAAATTTAATTACAATTTTGGCTAATCTGAGGACTTCAATTAGGTCTTGTTAAAGTGAGGATAATGCTGGTATTCACTGTCACACAGGACAGAGGATCATACACAAGACAATAGGTCTAAACTGTAGGCTGAAGCACACATATATATCATGGTTACAATCAACTACATTACACTATACACGTTTCAATGTACGAATATATAAATACAACTTTCTATTGTGCACTGCCACACAAGGGCAGATATGGGTTCATAAGAGATGCAGCTTAAAATTAATATAAGTAAAATTGATCTTATTCTTTAAAATGGACAAGCAAATTTAGGATAAATTGTTAGGATGTCGTCTAGAACACCTGAGCCAATGAAATAGTTACACAGTTGGTGGTACAAGAGGCCAGGAGGTCTAAAATCTTTTACGGTTTCACATTCAACAATTTAGTGTTGTAGTGAAAGCATTAAAAGTATATCACAGAGTTTACACTCTGAATATTCTGGTAGTGGCTCAGCCTCACTAACCTGCCAGATGTGCCTATAGCCAACTGAACACTTTCCTGAGGTTCACTCAGCAGGTAACTCTCCCCCGAGGGTCAGGGGTTCACGGCCACTGCTCACTTGTGTCGTGAGTGACTTGACACATTACCATAGTAATCTGGAACCTGCGGTGTTCTCCCACTCCCGTTATAACTACATCTTCCGCTCACCATTCTACTCACCACCAACATTATTGACCGACTCAAAAATATACATACACTCATTCCGTAATATAAGACGTATTGTGGGGTGGGATACATAGTGTGTACACACACGTGGGGGTCAGATACATAGTGTGTACACACGTGGGGGGTCAGATACATAGTGTGTGCACACGTGGGGGGTCAGATACATAGTGTGTGCACACGTGGGGGGTCAGATACATAGTGTGTACACACGTGGGGGGTCAGATACATAGTGTGTACACACGTGGGGGGTCAGATACATAGTGTACACACACGTGGGGGTCAGATACATAGTGTACACACACGTGGGGGTCAGATACATAGTGCACACACACGTGGGGGTCAGATACATAGTGTACACACACGTGGGGGTCAGATACATAGCGTACACACACGTGGGGGTCAGATACATAGTGTACACACACGTGGGGGTCAGATACATAGTGTACACACACGTGGGGGTCAGATACATAGTGTACACACACGTGGGGGGTCAGATACATAGGGTGTGGCGTTGGGTGGGGCGAGTGTTGCCAAAGGGCGGGTCTGGAATTATGGGGTGGGCGAGTAGGTCGCCAGGGTTGGTTGCTGTGCCCTGGGAGGGAGGGATGGAGGGGTGGAGGGCGCCCTGGGAGGGAGGGTATGTGGCCCCGGCTCTGGAGGAGGAGGAGGGAGGCGGTGGTGGTCAGTGTTGTCTGGGTAGTGGTTGAGGGAGGAAGACAAGACCTCCACGGCACCCAAGAGTGTCCCTGTGTGATGTGTGTTCAATGTTAGCGAGCGCCGCCCTGCACCCAGCGCCGCCTGGCAGACATAACTCCAAGTCTTCTTTTGCCTCCACTTTGCCCAACAACTGACGCTCTTGAGCCATTTTTTCCCCTGGCATAATCACCGGGTAAGATATATGCCAAGTTTTGTTTTTATTGATATTAATGAAGTGTAACTAGTAGAGTATCTGAAGCGCGGGGTCTAGTGTGACTTTCTCTCCGACGCCCCCTCACCTTATCTCTAAACTGGAAACTGTTTTTACTCTCATACTCCTCTCCTCACTTACTCCTCTCCTCACTTGCTCCTCTCCTCACCTACTCCTCTCCTCACTTGCTCCTCTCCTCACTTACTCCTCTCCTCACTTGCTCCTCTATTCGTCCACTCTTCTCATCCACAGCTCTCCTCATCTTTTCCACCTCATCTCCATACCTCATCAAATCAAATCAAATGTTTCTTCAGGTAAAGTACATACATACAAGGTGAGATACGAAACATTGATGGCTTTATAGATGGAGCTAGTACATACAATGCCTAAAGCCACTATTACGCAAAGCGTTTCGGGAAATCCCCTCTCCTACGCATCGCTCTTCTGCTGTTCTCCTCTTCTTTCACAGTATTTATTCTTCACCTACTCTATTTTCACCTATTTAGTTTACCTGCGTCGCTCTATGCTTTCCACATTGAAGCCCATCCTGGTGGTGGGGAGGTTGTGTACGGGGGCGTTAACGGGGTACTGGAAGGTGCCTTGTCAAGCTTCTCTCCTGGACTAAGGATACAAGACAGACTAAGAGTATTTCATCATCTAGGGACGAGCATTATCATCCGCCTGGGCCACAGAGCCTTTCCCGTCCGGTTGGACTTGTGATTGTGTCACAGAGGCCACTGTAAACTAACCCAAATGTTAGAGCAATTTGAAGTTGAAGTTAGAAGATTAGGCGATGATAGCAGGTATGTTTACACAGCTGCAGTGGCCTCGTTACACCATGTCAATTAGTCAAGACTTCAACAGCTTCTTTTCCAATGTTGTCTTCTGGCTTATATTGTTGTCATTGCCTCGCCTGCTTGTCCTCTCTCGTCTTTACCAACCCGAACCCTCTGGTGTAGTGGTTAGCGTTCTCACTCTGTCCCAAGCAATCAAACCCTGGTTCAAACCCTGGGCAGAGTGGGGGATAATTATATACTGTTTATTCACTCCTCCCTGTGTCACAAACAATAATAGGGGACCTGGATGTAAAGTAATGGCTTGTAGTGTTATAGGGAAAACCTGGCAGGTGAACCAGGGCGGTTACACCAACACTAACGCAGTGATCACGACGCACCTTCCACGGTGACACCGGCCACGCTGGCAGCCGTCGCTGGCCACGGTAGGCCCAACACCTCCACGAGCATCTCTCCAAACAAACAGAACAAAAACAAAATAACTCCTATGCTATCATCTATTAAATTATTTCTGTCATTTCACTGATCTCTTCATATAGCTGAGGTTGGTCACGCCATTACTGTGGTCACGTGCAGTGTACTCGGGCCGCGCTCTCCTCCTCACCTGCTGGCGTCCCTCCGGTCGTGCAGCTCTGCCCTCTTGTGTATTTTATTATTATTATTTTCTACCACAGACGTGGCCACACATTTACAATGCTAACCAGCATATGTACATTTTCTTCTGTCCTCCATGGACAGGGTTAGAGAAGTGTTAAACATATAGTTCAAGGGTTTATTGAACACTCAACCACAGAAGGTGAATCGGTGCTTTTAAAATGCTAAGCTAACCTACATACGTAAATACATAGATACACAGATTTACGTATGCCCTACATAAAGTGTTCGATGTGTCTTTTACATAGTGTCATTAATTAATGTGCATTTACAAAGGTGAAATGTAATCCACCGTTCCCTTATTCTCTATGTTACCCGCTAATTTGTTCTATATATCAACAAACCTGTTTCCAAACCATTATTTACCCAGGTATCTCCTTATTCTACACTTATTCAATTCATATCTGTTTCTTCCTGCTCTGCTTTGTGTATATGAATAAATAACTGACAGACTAAGTGTTCCCTAAGAACGAAATCCTGTAGTTATTTTGGACCATGGAGCTCTGTCCCCTCCGGTTTGATTTCCGCCAAGGAGTCAACAACAAACACGTGTTTAAAGTCTCATCAACCTTCCTGAACTTTTTAATTTCCTCTTCCCATTATTAAGAAATAAATCTTACGAAAAAAGAATCAAAGATCTAATCTTCTTTTCTCTGAAAAATCCTTAGTTACATGAGGCATTATGAAGCCTAAATCTTTAGAATAATGACAAATTAAACAATAAAAACATGAACATTTTGAAATGCAGACGAGGAGAGCTTAAGTCATGCCACTGAGGGCTGCACTATATAGATCGGCCGATGATTCTATGTGTAGCGGGAGTGTTGAAAAGTCCTGAGTATGTTGATAGTTCTCCCTCAGCGTACCTATTGCACCTGTGCTTTTCATTGGGGCTAATTTGCATATCTTACCAAGCCTACTGGTTTCCTTATAATATAATCTCCGTGTTCAGATTTATAACCAGTCCCTCTATTATTTTCCCCTGTATATTATTGTTTATTTCTCTCGCCTGAACTATAGTGAATACAGATTAAAAGTTTTAATCGGTCGAAATAATTTAGATGACTTATAAAGTGGGGTTTAGCGGTAAAAGATCTTTGCACACTCTCTAGGTCAGCAATTTCTCCGGCTCTGAATGGGGCTGTTAGAGTGCAACAATGTTCCACCATAAATTTGTCAAGACTAGTGTCTTGAAAGGTATCATCATAGGTATGGCATCCCATGTTTGGAAGGTCCTTGTTATCCAACCTGTAATTTTTCTTGCAGTCGTGACAGCTTCTTTATTGTGTTCTGTAAAGATAAGGTCTTCAGACGTATAATTACTCCTAAGATTACATTACCTTTTTATTCTATAGTGTAAATTGATTCCGTTTTATATATATTTTTCTTGTATGCAGGAGCTGGAACTTATTTTCATTTAACATCACATTATTATATGATGTTTACAACATTTAGAATTATGTTAGGTGAAGAGTATTCATCTTTTAATACGCTTAGGTGAAAAGTATTGACGTATTCATACGTGAAGTATGATTACGTGTAAGTATTCATACGTGAAGTATGATTACGTATAAGTATTCATACGTGAAGTATGATTACGTATAAGTATTCATACGTGAAGTATGATTACGTATAAGTATTCATACGTGAAGTATGATTACGTATAAGTATGATTACGTATAAGTATTCATACGTGAAGTATGATTACGTATAAGTATTCATACGTGAAGAGTATTCACGTATTCTAGATGTTGTGAAGATGTTCACAACATCTAGAATACGACTCATTGAAAGACCCGATATACATCAGAGTGGAGGTTCGCCGTGTCCTCTATATTGTCGACTCGCGTGACAGTCTTTCATCAGCACGTGAGGATACAGTGGTGTAGTTTGTAGCCTTGTCTTGTAGCCTTGTCTTGTAGCCTTGTCTTGTCTGACATTAGGATGAGGAATATAACTTAACAGTGAACAAAGATATACATGTTTCCATGTCCTGCCGTCTGTATAACAACCCGACGCCATCAAAGCCTCTTACAACCACGTAAGTAAAGAGGAAATATAACATCTGTGAACTATAATGTTGTTGCTGAACACAGAACATGAACAACGGAATTTTACTCCGACATTGACTCATGTAAAGGTTCACGTTTCAGATGCCTTCTGAAGGTCAGAGTTATAAACATGGGTGTGACCACATTTCAAGGAATATTGCTTATGTGGGAATGAAGACATAACCAAGATCGCCGAGGTCCGAACACCGCGCCTGAACACCTCTAACCGTCTCAGGTCAAACGTACGCTATTGGCCACTTCTCCAGATGACCCGGCAACGCTATTGGCTAAATGATCAGATGAACAACGCGCAAATCAATAGTATCTGAGGCGGAGTGGCCATAGGCCTCGGCCCGTATAGACCTTGGCCGAAGACCTTGGTTTAAGACCTTGTTCCGTTGACCTTGGGCCACAAAACATTAACATATGCTACAGAATAAGTGTAGGACTATACGATACTTCATCACCGTGTCAGATAATTAATGTGGCAGTTTACACTCGGTAACTTTTTAATACATTGTGCAAGTCTAGGCTGGCGGGCGGGCGGGCGCCGTCCACCTGGAGAAGGTCGCCAGCCCCACACTATCCCCTCCACGTATGCTCCACTTTTTATGATAACACATTTCAAATTAAAACATGATATCCCATTTGAAATTAAGAAATTTAAAACTACAGTCACATAGGCTTGGTCGGTGTAGCAAAATGTAGGAGCCGATTTGTTTTAGTTTTGAATTATGCTTATTGTTATTTATGGCTTTATGAAGATCACTAATTGTTTGTTCAGTGTGGGAGGAGACTGAGGTGGAGACAACACCTAACACAGCCCCTGGTGGACAACACCTAACACAGTCCCTGGTGGACAACACCTAACACAGCCCCTGGTGGACTAGCACAATGTGAGGGTACAGGTGGGAGAGAGAACGAGTGACTGCGAGCCACTCTGCCCCTCCCACCGACAACGCCATAACTTGAACTGTTGAACTAGTTGTTCAAAATGTAACTACAGAAGCACCCTCGGGCTATGTCTGATCAACGGAGTGGTAATCCCTACGTCAGAATGCTAGCTGCGCTCTCTAACAGCCTGGTTGACCAGATCACTAACCAGGACGCAGTGGTGAGAGACCGGGCCGCGGGGACATCGGTCCTGGGAAGCACAAGGTAGGTGTGTACTCACCTAATTGTGCTTGCGGGGGTTGAGCTCTGGCTCTTTGGTCCCGCCTCTCAACCGTCAATCAACAGATGTACAGATTCCTGAGCCTATTGGGCTCTATCATATCTACACGTGAAACTGTGTATGGAGTCAGCCTCCACCACATCACTGCCTAATGCATTCCATTTGTCAACCACTCTGACTGAAAAAGTTCTTTCTAATATCTCTGTGGCTCATTTGGGCACTCAGTTTCCACCTGTGTCCCCTAGTGCGTGTGCCCCTTGTGTTAAATAACCTGTCTTTATCTACCCTATCAATTCCCTTCAGAATCTT